ACAAAAAATTAATCATCATCAAGACAATTTTATGGAGATTAATTTACACATAGCATTTTATTTGGACGCATAGTAAAGAGATAATAAAATATTAAAATAATTAAATACGCCTCGGCGGACGTAGGACGCATATACGCTAGCCGCCTGAAGAGAATCGAGAGAAATCACCAGTAGACTTCTATTAGTTCAAACATTCTGGCAACGTATGGAAAAATTGAATGGATTTAAAAATGAACTTTGCTTTATAACGTACATATGCCGATAGATAAAAGTATTCCATTAATTTTGCCAATTTTTAAGCTAAAATTATTGAACTATATGAGGCGAAGTTTCATGTCGCGCGGCTCAGGCGCGTGATATTGACATAATATATAATGTACGTGGGTGAAACCGCGAGGCACAGCTAGTTGAGGATAAATGTAGAAGTATACTATACCCGCAGCATCCACTTACCATCAGGTGGACTGTATGCTCGTTTGTCACCCTATTCTATATCAAAAAATCATTATTGGGGCACGTATTTCATTGGACCCACTAAAATTTTACACGCGTGAAAATGTAATACATTAAATCGCTAAGTCCACTTCAAAACATTATTTAAATGATACAGGAGCGAATACTAATACAGAAGGAAGCAGCAATTCGCCGGTGATCAAGTTTCCGCCGAAACTCCTAAGATGTTTAAATTGTTTCAGCCATGGCACAATTTCATATTAGTAAGGCTGCCGACGTTAACTTCTCAATGTAATTGATGGTAGGTACTTTTTATTTAAATAGTGTAAGTTATGATGTAAAATTAGTGAAGTAAATAAACAAATATTTATTTATTTTATTGTTTATACGTAGTAGCCATGCTGCAGCTATATTATGGTTGTAGCACGAATGGGTCGGCTCGACCGACGAATGACCACGCTCTCACACAATACCAGAATGTCATCAGAAAATAGCAGCCTAATGCTGCTGTGTTTCATATGGTGAGTGTAGAGATGCGGAGACCCCTTTTTACTAGAAACGAGGCATTCCATCTTTGTCCTCGGAGGTGACAACGCATCTGCATTTTGATTCTAAATAGAGGATACCACTTACCGTTAGGTGTGCTCGTTTGTCACCGTTATTCTATAGAAAATAAAAGTTATTTTAAAGTTGTGTTTATAATTTTAGATTTTCATATAAACAGCACAACTGATACAGAAACAGCTGTACCCTCCTTGCTTGATCAGAAATACCTACATTTATCCAAAAATGTTCAACAACCCTTCACAGTTATTATAGCAATTCTTTTATTTTATTGTATCAACCGTGTCGTGGCGGTGTAAGAATATACACTACGTAGCTATAGCTATAAAAGACAATAGGTTGACAGCGCTAACATCTCAGAACAAATCATCCGGTGGATGTAGTAAGAGACAACAGAGAGAAACAAATCAGGTTATGGGCAGTCTTCTCTTCCTAATAACAACGAAAAAAAAAGCGGTTGCCAAACGTGACAACTATGGCAATTATCTCCCCTATAAAAATCTATGAGGGAGCCCTATGTTCAGCTGTGAAATTTTTATTACTTATATTGATCATAATATCAAGGTACTACGTATAATACGTGTATTGAAGAATTAAAGCCCCGACTTCAAGCTATAATTAAGAAAATACTTTTTCTTTTTAGTGTGTGAGGTTGGATTTTACTTTTTACCATAAGTTTTTACCAAACTTCGTCAGTTTTTCCTGGTAGAAAGGTAAGAGAGTAAAATATCAAAAGGCATCACACTCATTAACGCTAATAAACAACACTATAAAAATTTATGTGATCAACATTTACTTCAGTGCCTTAAACGTTATGTCATTACCATTCACCCTCATAGCCAGTGTCACGGAGGTCCTGCTGGGTCCTGCTTTGTGGAGAACGGATGACTGCAGAAACTTTTGATGACATGATTTCCCGTAACCGTCAATTATTTTTGTAGAAAATGATTCATATCATTCACTACAAGTTAATAAAGCGCCTACCACAGCTAACAAAAGAAAACCGAGCTGGTGATTTGGCTGGGAAACGGCGGTAATGTATGTACCTCTGAAGAAATACTGTAAACAGTTATTAAAACTCGTAAAATAAAACAAAGAAAACAGGACACGGTATCAAATCAACGAAGTGGCTCGTGCACATGGATCACGGAGCAAATACAAAGAGGAGACGGCCTAATAAGCAACTGTGCACTGTGATTCTAACTAGGACTTGACGTCATCACAGAGGGCGTAGCTTTAGTTAGTACACTATCAGCGTTCGTCCTGTGCGCTTAGGCCGATTTTAGAATCCGCTGATCGTCAGCGCTGACAGCTCAGCGCGTAGCTGTGGGAACTCGTTTTAGTGTTATGCTGACCGCTGCGAAGTACAGACATGGCCAATCCCATGAGTTTTGAAGTTGCTCGGCGCGTGCGTGCGTTTTTCGTGACACAGTAACGATAACTGAGCTCGGTAGCGCGTCAGCGCGTACGGTCGCGTATGGCTCGGCGCTGACGGTCGTCAGCGCTGAGCGGTCGGCGTTTATTTTAAAACGCTCCTTAGACACCCATACATATTGGCCTGTCAGCGCTGACGATCAGCGCGGCTCTAAAAGCGGCCTTTTATGTCGAAAATTGCCAATCGGTGTATTTTCGTATTATTAAGAAGAAAAGGAAGAAGTGTTGTGATTTATCGTGTAAAAACTACTCAGACGCTCTGATATTATGGATGGCATCATATTTTATTTGTAAGTAATTTTATACCTAATTTATTAAAATGGTTCTAGAAAAATATCTTTGCGTCGGTTTTCAAATATAATTAAATATATTCGACCCTAGATGGCGACACTGTGTCATGGGAACTAAAAATATTAAGGTGCGTAGAGCTCAGTATTATTGGTAAAATAATCATACAAAGGTGCTGAAATTTATTTTGCATTCAGTCCTAAAGAATTTTTAATCGCCAAAATATTATTATTATAATCATTTTGTGAAAAGGCGCCATCTATCGTCAATTAAAAGAACAATCACAAAATTAACAAACTAAACGATGCGAGTAGTTTTACTATTTATCGGTAGATGGAAAATAGTTAAGTGGGCGGGACTTTACACCCGCTCACCCCGCAAATTGTCACGCGTTGTTACACAGTGAAATCTAATTGCTCTTGTACGAAGTGTTCCTCGTCTTTGTATTTGCTCCGTGACATGGATATCGCGTTCTCCGAAGTAAATACATGTAGGAAGTTGAAACCGTGACATAGGATTCGACTCGATCTTTCTACAACGAAATTCATGTAACTGATAATGACGACAGCATAATTTTCTAAAGATTCAAATTAATACTAGTACATTTTATACCGAATTTAAAAAGGAGGAGGTACTCAATTCGACTGCATTTTTTTATGTGTGTTACCTTATAAATTTTTCCGATTTTGATGATTATTTTTTATTTGAAAGCTGGTGCTTCCTGGTCCCATACAAATGAAAGTCTGACCAGTAGTTTTGAGCTATCCTTAATAATTTATATTGAAGTCGGTTGTACAATTTTTTTTTAATTTTACCACTTGTAATCTACCTTTTTAGCGTACTGTTAGCATTAAGCCCCGGATACACTAGGGGACATTTTGTCTCGCAACATGACTTGGAACACTCAATCTACGTGACGATGCAACGTTGCACAGTGACCCTCAACATGACCCGCAACATTTTACGTGACGCGGGAAATGTTGCTTGTTCCCGGTCCGAGAGCGAGCGCACGCGTCCCGCGTTAGTGTCGCGCCATTTGTTACCGGGTGTAGTCGTGTGCGCAACGTGCCTTGCAACATGCCAGTAGTGTGGGAAAACGAAACCGTGCTTTTTGATCTTTAGGTATCAGTCATGTTTTGTTGTGGGATACTTCAAACGACAAACTTTTTGTACTATTCTACTGATCAGTTGTTTCGACACTCGAAAAGTGTACGATAAGGAAGCATAAGAATCTCCAGTCGGCAAGTATCTTAATGCAATAGCAAGTCTGATATAAGGGCCAACAGCGTTTCGTAGTATTGTATCATGTTTGGCTATGGAAGGTCCGATCATTTGTAATAAAGTTTCAAAATTAGATGTTTACATTTTCGAATAAAATTCACAAAAAATCCGTCCGACATTCGGAGATCACTTAAAATATTAATTCTTTCTTCTCGTTCTAGTAAGAAATTCTGCATCCATCACCTTATCTTACGCTTGTTTACTCCCGAAATAATACATAAAAAGCGCGACATGTCGCTCCTTTTGTCCCCAAGTATATCCAAGGCTTTAACTATTGTAGAAAGTCAACTTCGCTAACCCCAAGGAAGGAGATCAATGTAATTATAATAAAAAAGCAGGTACAAAATAAAACAAATTTTGAATATACCACAACAACGGTAACAGGCATTGAGACACTTTCATAAGCTCATAATGACCTCAAAAGCAGAGCATATACATGGTACACGATTAAAAACAAAATCAACATACTTACATACGTAATACTTTAAAGAGATTTCATTTTATAAAAACAAATTAGTTGAGAGTCGAACATTTTATGCGACATATTTTCCATTTCATAGTTTTGTATTGTACACAAACTTCCTAAACAAAAATTGACAATCGGTACAATTAACAAATTATTTATAATAAGTCCCTTTTCCTATGAAAATTTACCTTTCAATATTAGCCAGAATATTTCTCAAAATATTTTATTGGTTTGTATATTTGCATGTGAACCGTAAGGGCATTGATATAAATATGACAAAATACCATGAACTGTAAAACAGGTAACAGAACAGTAAAATATATTAATAAAAATATTATACAGTTGCGAGTCGTTAAAGTTTGTGCCGATATTGTCATTTACACTTATCGCCTGGTATTTTACGCTCATTTAAACAAAAAAAAAAAATACCAGTAAGAAACAATATTATTACTAAAAATCTTTCGAAAATTTCAACATCAAAGTTTTAACTAAAATCACAGTTATGCATTTGTTTTTATTCGTTAATTTCAGAACCAGTTACGTTTAGCGTTGGGGTGTCTCCACCCATTCCGCTCTTCATTAAAAGTTCCATCCTGGATGGTAAATCTGCTAATGACTTATCGGTTTCTGTTTTTGTTTCCTTTGACTTTATTTGCAACTTTCTTTCCTCTATATGATCTGCGAACGTGTTATATCCAGCCACCTTTGCTATATCTGCAGCCAAGCATAAACATTCTTGATCATTTGATTTCCCAAGTATTGTGGCAGCTTGAGATAAATCTCCAAGAGCAATGTAACTGTAAGAAAAAACATTATTGCTTTTCATTTTTATTTTTATTTTTACTTATATCACTAAATTTAAAATGGAGCCAAAAAACGTTTTAAATAGATTTAAAAGAAAAATATTATACAATTTTTTAAATATGTATATTGATCAAAAATAAAAAAATAAAACATTAATATTTTAAAGGCAAATTGTAAATAATTAAAACTAAAATTTTTACCAAATGGCAGCCATAGTCCAGCTGCCTGTGTAGTAACAATCCTTAGCCCATTTATGCAGTGTTTCCGACGCTATGCTATCCATATGCCTGTAATATCAATTGAATTTATAACAATATCAACTTGCCATATATTTTACAAAAACAATTGACAGTTGAGCATTGCATCTGTGCTTCGGATGCCCATTGGTTACGGTGCTCACACCGTCTGCCTGCAAGCTTCCAACTCTTATTCTTTTCATAGCCGAACTATTATTTCTAGAAATAATAGTTTGTGTATTAGACGAACTTTAGTTCGCGTTTGAACTTTGAACCCTTTCCCTCAATTAAATATATTTTTCAGTGTAGCATTTGAGGTGTTAGCATTGATTACGCATCATCATCATCACCACGCTTGGCGGGTGGATCGGCAGGACCAGACGTCGTATTAATTTTTGACGATGCATCCCGGCGACAGTCTGAGCATTTTACGTCCGGGGTAAACATTGTACATATATCGGAGATCATGTGATCTTTCTAGTATTTCCCAAAGTAGCCTCTTAACCCTTTCACTGTCCCGTACAGTAGATATAGATCAATGCTATATAGTCTTACAATTGTGTCTGCAAATCGGACAGTGAAAACGTTAAGATATCCACAGGTCGAAATGGAATGGATGGATGAATTCTCTTACGCAGCCGTAGAAGCAGATAAATACTTATAATACAATTCACTTAGTCAAGTATTTTTTGCCTATTAAACTTTTAAGATTATAGCTACACCTGGTGTACTACGTTTAATTTCGCGAACCCAAGTCCCGGTTGCTAACTCGCTCGTGGCAACTATGGCAAATACCCCCCCCCCCCCCAATGATGAGAGCAACAAAGAGACGGCCCCCAGTCCCCGGCGGCCCCGCTATACCTGGCTACGGTGGCGACCATGGTAACGGCGGGGCTGGGGGTGCTAAGATTACCACCTAAAACGACTCGACCTGGCAACATACAACGCACGCACCCTGAGCACTGACGAGAAGATTGTGGAGTTGGAAGAAGAGATAGACAAGTTATGCTGGCATATTATAGGATTATCCGAAGACCCAAGAGAGGGGGAGGACACGGTAATCCTCGAATCCGGCAACTTGTTCTATCACCGGGAGGGCGACCATCTGTCCCAAGGAGGTGTCGGATTTATCGTCCACAAGTCTCTCGTTAACAACGTTGTAAAGATCGGGAGTGTGTCGACGAGGGTTGCGTACCTTATACTCAGAATCACCAAACGGTATTCGCTGAAGGTCATACAGGTTTACGCACCAACCTCGGCACACCCCGATGAGGAGGTGGAGGAAATGTATGAGGATATCTCTAGAACCATGCATTCCTCCAAAACCCAATATACGGTGTTAATGGGAGACTTTAATGCAAAACTAGGCACAAGAGAGAACGGTGAACTGAAAGTAGGGAAATTTGGAATAGGGCAACGGAACCCAAGAGGCCAGCAGCTGGCCGACTTCATGGAGAAAGAGGGACTCTTTATGATGAACTCTTTCTTCCAGAAGCGGCCTCACAGGAACAGGACCTGGTCGAGCCCCGACGGTTCGACAAAAAATGAGATTGACCTCATTATGACGACCAGACGACAACTGTTCAGTGATGTCTCTGTGATCGCGAGGGTGAAAACTGGTAGCGATCACCGAATGGTTATAGGCACACTGAACCTAAACGTTAAGTTGGAGAGGTCTCGTCTAATGAAGTCAACGCTCCGTCCCCCTCATGCTCTGTTCCAAAGTCCCGAAACCTTTCAGCTCGAGTTACAAAACCGTTTTCAGTGCCTAGAAGACTGCAATGAAGTAGACGATATGAATGACTAGCTCGTGGAAACTGTCCATGCGGTTGGAGCTAAATTCTGCAAGACCCGCCGCAGAAGAAAACAAAAACTCTACGATCACACTCTTAATCTCAGGGCTGTTGGACGGGAGATGAAGCTACACTCTTCAACAGATTTGACACCATACAGGCAACTGAACAGACAGATCTCCAAATGCATGCGGCGGGACTTACGCAACTTCAATACAGCTTGTATTGAAGAAGCGATCGAGCGGAACCAAGGCTCCAAAGTCATTGCCAGAGATCTGTCTGCCAGAAAGAGCCAACTGTCAAAGCTGAAGACCGAGTGTGGCAGCATCGTTTCCGGGACACCTGAGATTTTGAGTGAGATCGAGAGGTTCTATGGGCAGCTGTACTGACGTGTTGGAGCCACACGCAAGTGTGAGTAACGATCCAAGAGCGAGTCTTATCCGATACTATTCCGAAGATATCCCGGACGTCAGTCTGAGCGAGATTAGAATGGCTCTCCAGCACCTTAAAAACGGCAAGTCCCCGGGCGAGGATGGAATTACAGCGGAGCTTCTGAAAGCGGGTGGAAAACCGGTACTTGAAGTCCTTCAGAAGTTCTTTAATTCCGTCCTCCATGGTGGCATTACACCGGAGGCGTGGAGCAGAAGTGCGGTGGTCTTGTTCTTCAAGAAAGGTGACAACGCTCTCATGAAGAACTACCGACCGATTTCCCTTCCGAGCCGTGTCTACGTGCTGTTTTCGAGAGTCATTACGAATCGTCTCGCGCGCAGACTTGACGACTTCCAGCCTCCCGAACAAGCCGGTTTCCGAAAGGGCTTTAGCACCATAGACCACATACATACCCTTCGGCAAATTGTACAGAAGTCCGAAGAGTACAATTTGCCACTATGTCTGGCGTATGTGAACTATGAGAAAGCCTTTGATTCCGTCGAAATTTGGGCGGTGCTGCAGTCCCTTCAGCGGTGCCAAGTTGACTGTCGGTATATCGAAGTGCTGAAGTGTCTGTACAGTAGAGCTACGATGGCTATCCGAGTCATGTTTAACGTCCATGTTACACCTATGCCGGTAGTTGTTGGGAGCACTAAGCTCGAAGTTGCTGACGAGTATGTTTACCTGGGACAAATAGTCCGACTAGGTAAGTCCAACTTCGACCGAGAGGTCAATCGACGGATTCAACTCGGCGGGGCAGCGTTCGGGAAACTACGACACATCTTCTCGTTAGACATACCTCAAAACCTGAAAATGAAATTGTACAACCAGTGCGTGTTGCCAGTGATGACTTACGGATCTGAGACGTGGTTCTTCACTACTGGCCGTATGAGGAAGCTCGAGGTCGCTCAGCGAGCTCTGGAGAGGGCTATGCTCGGGGTGTCTCTGCGTGATAAACTTAGAAATGAGGATATCCGCAGTAGAACCAGAGTAACCGACATAGCCCAACGGATTAAGTAAGCTGAAGTGGCAGTGGGCCGGCCATATAGCTCGAAGAACCGACAACCGATGGGAAAGAAAGGTTCTCGAGTGGCAGCCTCATACCGGTAGGCGAAGTGTAAGGCGACCCCCCACTAGATGGAGTGACGACCTGGTGAGACATGCAGGAAGTCGATGGATGCAGGTGGCTCAGGACCGTGCTTTGTGGCATTCCTTGGGGGAGGCCTATGTTCAGCAGTGGACTTATGAAGGGCTGTAATGATGATGATGATGATGAAGTACCAGCGAAAGATCTGGTCTTTAAAAAACCTCACCTCCATAATAATACTCCTCTTGTAACTTAGAGGCTTTATACAAACATAAAATATCATAATATGAAACAAAATCTTGAAGAATTTACATCTCGTGATGTTAAATTTAATGCACAATAACTATATCAGATTTTGTGAATCTGAAAAAATTGTAAATGGATCGACAACAGAATCATAATAGAAAATTGCTTATAACCTTCGCCACAGTGTTTAAGCTTATGATATTGACACAAATAAGTTCGATTCAATACTCTAAGGTTTTACTGAATGATGCTGCGACTTATTCATTCGACATGATTTGAAATCTTACCTTGTCCTGCACAATATGTACGCCTCTTTGTAAAGTCTAGACTCTATGAGAGTAGCAACGGCGCCCTTCACATCGTGCATGCTTAGTAACAATCCAACTTTACGATACACTACGCCACCGTAATTTTTAAATTCTGAAATCAACCAAAAAATTATTATGTGTGTATTTATAGTAATAAATTATATTTTATATCAAGTGACGCATCGCCAAATCTGTTAAACTTACGTAACAATTTATCTTCTTCCCCTTTTGCAACGAGTCTATCTAATTGTGCCAGATACAGCTGTGTAGCGTCCTTCCAATATCTGAAATTATATTAAAATATTTATGCTTTTTGCGGTTAACGGATATTAGCCTATTCAAAATAAATTAAAAAAATGCTTAATTTATATTGTTAAGGTACATATCGTGGGTCTCAAACCATAGGGGCGTATATGCAAAAATGCGATTTTTTGTTTTTAATGTCAATGTATTCTACTATAAGAAATACGTAATCTGAATTTTTCTTATAATTTAATATTAATTACTTTTTGAGTAAATTACAAAATATCATTTATCGTAAGCTAGAGAGTCTGAAATTATTTTGAGGCCACATAGCCGTAGAGTAGACGTAAGAGCAATATTATTGCTTATTGGGGCAGATTTGACGTGCCTTAATCTGTCAAGTCTTTGAACTATACATGAGATAGTACAAGGTTACTTTTGAAGAAAGCTCCAAAGAGTATGTTAATATTTAGAAAGGACCCCTCAGAACCAAAGAGTATATAATCACTACGTTTAGTCAGAACCATGGTTAAGAGTACTCAGAACAATATTTTTTTAAATGTTATTTATAACAATAATTGTTGTACAACTAAAATTTTATTACGTTTAAATTAAGTTTCTCAATTTTTTTTATAGGATAGGGTGACATACGAGCACACAATCCACCTGATGGTAAGTGGTTGCTGTGGCCCATAGACATCTACATTTATCCTCGTTTGCGAATCAAAATGCAGATGCGTTGTCACCCGTGAGGACTAAGATGGAATGCCTCTTTTCCAGTAAAAAGGGTCTCCGGTTCTCTACACTCACCATACGAAACACAGCAGTGTTAAGCTGCTTTTTGACGCTGGTATTCTGTGAGAGCGTGGTCCTTCCCCGGTCGAGCCGATCCATTCGTGCTACAACTATACTACTAATATAGCTGCAGCATGGCTCTAAGACGTATAAATAAGTAAAGAGAAAGTAAATTAAGAGAATTTACTTCAAATGACGAGGTTCCGCTTTTAACTACGCATCGCGTTTACTTCACATATGTACTCTAGTCTATTTTCTTCGCCAGCAAATATAAATAAAAAAAAAATTAATTGGGTACAAAAGAAAGCATGTTGTTAGTTTTTTATATAAAAGGTATTTCTAATTACACTGTTTTTAAAAGTTATTTGGTTATATTTTGCTTCGTAACAATTCTATACACTTTATAAAATTTCCATTTTAAATACTGTGTCGTTCACGTATCACTATATATATAATAGTCAGAATTAACTGAAAATTAAATGTAAAGTGTGATTTATCACTATAAATCATGTAGAAAATACAAATCTTCATATTCCACAAAGTCCAATATGCGAAAATTACGTTTTATGTTATAATTTCGATAGTGAACATTCTGGCGAAGTTGTTTTCAACAATAATTTTAAATTTTGTACAACCGGCTTCAATATAAATGATTAAGTACCGTAAAATGGGGTGAATAGAAATCGCGGGGTGAATAGACACAAGTCTGGTTATTTTAAAAAGTTGTCTCTAGGTTTGTCTACAGCTCGGGAACGTCTGTTTATTACTACTGTTTATTATTTGCCAACATTTTTCCTTTATTTTGGTAACCTTTAAATTAGTGTCAATTTTGAAGACAGTAAATAAAAGGGCGGTTATTATAAACGTGTGAGTACAATTGGTTTTATGCTGTGTAAAACTTTTAGCTAAACATCAAGTACTTCAGTGTTTCCTTGTTGCAAATTTTTATCTTAGGGAGTTGAGTTTCTCATCTATTATTAATACAAATATGAACATTGATATCGAACGATTTTATTATTTTAAATAGTAAAATCAGGACACTTATTTTTTCTCGAATTCGAGGTGAATAGTTACGACTGAGGTGTGAATAAAAACGCCTTTGGGGTTAATAGAAACGAAGAAGGGGGTGAATAGATACGAATGAGGGGTTATTAGAAACGTAAAAGGGGTTAATAGAAACATGATTTTTAGGGTTGTCAAAAACTATTTGCTCCATTTACTTACCTACTACATAAATTAATTTAAGTAGGTAATTGAAACTAAAATTAAAAAAAAACTTTTAAACCATATTTAAGGTAGTTAATAGTCTTTATTTTTTAAAAAAACGTTACCCCCACACTTGGATTTTCTCCTGTGTCGTGGAGGCAGTTTACAAACATAAATTGCACAAGGACAAACATCCAGACCCGGAACAATTATTTGTAGGCCATACAAATACTTGTTCCGTGCGAGATTCGAACCCGCGGCTCCCAGCGCAACAACTGATTGCTAAGCCACTGCGCCACGAAGCCGTCAATCAAAAAAGTAAAAAGTCTTCTATCATAAATGTTAAATTTTGATATTTATTATACATTAAAATTCCAAATACTTGAGGTTTTACCATTACACCAAATAGAAGTTCTTGCAGTAAATATACTTAGTGTGCCCATATGATTTAGTTCTATCTTGTTGGTAAATATATCATTCATTATATTTGTATTTTATTGTTTAACAGAGACGCTCGGTACTTATACCGAGTTAAAAAGGTATTTAAGCGGTGCGGAAAAGGTGTGACGCAAGTTATCAGCTTCAAGTCCCGATATTATGTCAATTTACATTTATGTTTAGTGCTTACATAATTTTATAAATAAGTAATAGTGATTTTTAATCTCGTCTTGTTGTCTACAACTTAAAATAACCAAAGTTTATTAATCAAAACACGTAGTATTATAATTAGTGTTATATAGTTTGACAAACTTTGAAAAAAAAATTCATTTTTATTTTCATTACTAAAAAAATATGTTCAAAACTATGTAAGCAGTTATTTATCTAATTGCTTTATGTCGGAAATGTTTACGCTGCAAAGCAGTTAAATTACATTACTCTGATATTTTTAATTTATATAATATGGAATTGTATAAATATCAGATTTATTAACTAATTATTTTTTATAATGACAATTTTGATGTAGTTGTGTTTTCTTTCATTTGACTCACAAGCTCAAATGATGTATACTACAACAAAAACAAATTTGACAACCCTAGCATTTTTCCTCTATTCACCCCTATGTCGTATCTATTAACCCCGGATTCGCGGTATATAGAAACAGACTACTTTTTTCTAAAATACAACGAATTTGCATGTTTTTACTCGTTTGAAGCATTAGTATTCGATAAACTACAACAAGACTCACAACATTAAAGTGTTTTATAATCAGCTTGTATACAATATATGTAAGAAAAACAGTGTAGAAGTTGAAAGTTGTGTCTATTCACCCCATTTTACGGTATACCTCAAAACCTATTAGTCAGACTTTGATCAAATTTATATGGGACCACAGTGAAGCACTAGCTTTCAAATAAAAAAAAGAATCATCGAAATCGGTTCACCCAGAAAGAAGTTAGGAGGTAACACATAAAAAAGCAGACAATCGAATTGGAGTACCTCCTTCTGTCTGAAGTTGGTAGAAAAATGGTGTTGGTCAAAGATAATAAAGTATATGCCTATGATTTATTTATTATTTTTTATTTTTAGAGCCTCCTACTGAGTATATTGCTATAATTATATTATTCTTTATGAAAATCGAGTGTTTCTATGTCCTTTTTTTCTTTCTTTATAGTTATTTGATTTTAACATATAGATATTGAATTTTAACATATGGGGATTCGTCAGATTTGCCTTAGGTGAAGAAGTGACATATATTATTAGATTTTTTTTTCTTTTCAGTAAACTTGTTTGGTTTTTTTATTTATTACTGTTTTAACCATTGAACTTGTTTACGCAACTTTTGTTTAATAAATTGTTTGATGTCGATGTTTGATGACTCTTTTTACACACAAAAATATTTTTTTAAATAATAAAACTACCCCTTTCCTCTCCTTACAGTTTTCTTCCACTGCTGTCAACCCTCTCCACTACTAAACACAATGGACAACCCACAACAGACTTTGAAAATATAAGTGACAGAATCAGTAATCTCTATTAGTCAAAATCATTAAGAAGAGGCTGATTCTATAAGTTATTTTAACAACACTGGATAATAAAAAGGATTCTATCTGCAAGACTTCATTCAAAGAATTGGTCCTGGAAAAGATATAGATTTTCACAAGCAGAGAAAAGACCAATGCTGGTGTCATCTCGTAAGTTTGAGCATTTACCCGAAGAAGAACAGAAAAAGAAGCAGAGAGAGTATAAGAACGTATTACATTGAGGTGATGGATCATTTAAAATTTAAAGACTTTAAGGCAATCCGAGATATCTCTATTGGAAACACAATAAAACCCATGGATGGAACACTTTTAAAATGGGCAAACGTCGGATGGATATAAGTGACGAAAGATCTTCTCGATTCGCTTTTGATTTCGACTACCGAAAAAAATTTAAGATTTAGCAGGAATGAAACTCGTTCGAACTATTCTTCTTCTATGGAAACAAATTTGTACTCAGAACCACTTTCATTTAAACGAGTTAAAAATAAAGACTTGATGGCTATGTGTAAGGATGGAACTATTCCAAAGAATTACTACAGCTATTACGAAAATTCGCCTATTGTAGCAAACGAAAATTACTAATAATGATGATGAAGAGTTAACACTTGCTGCAACACATCTCATTACGACATTGACCTAGAAACACAAACTGATTACTTATTTATAGTGTCTTTTTAGGTACATCATCTTGGCATGCCTCTTTCATTCAATTGGTCATTTAAAAATATTTAAAAGATATTACACTTTCTAAAAATTTTACATAACATTTAATACCATTTTATACGTGGTAGAGCCACGCTGCAGCTATATTAGTAGTATAGTTGTAGCACGAATGGGTCGACTCGACCGGGAAAGAACCACGCTCTTACAGAATACCAGCGTAAAATGGCAGCTTGACACCGCTGTGTTTCGTATGGTGAGTGTAGAGAACCGGAGACCCATTTTACTGGAAAAGAGGCATTCCATCTTAGTCCTCACGGGTGACGACGCATTTTGATTCTTTATTGAGGATGTCCATGGGCCACAGCAACCACTCACCATCAGGTGGACTGTGTGCTCGTTTGTCACCCTATCCTATAAAAAAAACCAGAATTGCAATAAGAATTGCTAATTTATCGTCGTTTAATAATTTTAATTGCTAATTGCATTAATGAGGCATGCCAAGATTGTTAACTAAATAAGACAAGCAGGGAAAACTGAAGTAGCCTTTACTTAAGTTTTCCTTACTTGTGCAATTTTTCCTGTGCTCTTATTTTTGAAAACTTTTACTGTGTCTTATACTGTTTTAGAGAATTTGTTATGCTTGGTTTTTATGACTATAAGTTTCTTTTAAGGATTTAGATTTTATTTTTTATGAAAATCTCATGTGTCGTGAATTTTAAATGTCAAATCTGTTCTCAAAACGTTTTAGTTTAATTTCAAATAATTAAGATCTTTTGAAAAAAATTTTATAAGTTTCATTTAAGATTTCCGTTTTATTTCGTTTCTTCTAATGTCTTATGTTCGATTTGTGATTTTATGTCATTTTAAATAATTATATTCAGATTTATGAATAAATTTTATTTCTTACTAGCTGTTCCCCGCGACTTAGGACGCGTGTTAGGGTTTTTATATTTTTGCGCGGAACCCTAATAATTTTCTAAAATAAAAGTAGCCTAAGTTACTCCTTATGAAATCAGCTACCTGCCAGTGAAAGTCCCGTCAAAATCGGTCCAGCCGTTTCTGAGATTAGCCGGAACAAACAGACAGACAGACAAAAATTTTAAAAACTGTGTTTTTGTTATAATACCGTATATACTTTCATATGCAATTAGTAAAAAGCTGTAATTTTGAAATTACAAATAGACACTTCAATTTTATTTATTTGTATAGACATGCTTATTTTTTGTTCTAATTTTTTTTTTCACCCAGAAAATATTGTGTAATTGCTACCATTTGTTTTTTTTTCTTGCTTGTTGCACAAAATACTACTACTTTGAAAACAAACATCTCTCGATATTAATGACAAGCCAAACAAGCATACAGTTTTTTTTTTAAAACGGGAATAACGTTAATTTTGATGGTTTGGTATAGTAACTGCAGTGTAAAGATATGGTAATATGCAAAAACAACGAGCTAGCTCAATCACAAGAAAAGTTATTAAGTTTTAGTGTCTCCTGTAAAGTAACGGTTTTGTGGATACGCTCCTATTGTTTGAGACCCGCGATATATGTATAAAAAAAGTCTAAAAAATAGGCCGAATGTTTTCTCCAAAATTTGTAAGTATTATACTATTTAAGAAAAAAAGGAACCATCAAAATCGTTCCACAATTGACGACATACACAACATATAAAAAAAGGAATGCATACTCAATTTGAAACCCTCCTCCTTTTTATGAAAGTCGATTAAAATATAAAGGGGAGTACGATAAACAAATGTCAAGCTCTAAAACATAATTTAAAGTCTTACTTAAAAGATACGCAGGGCGATATACTAATGAGGTAAGGACATAGGAGGTCTCTCTGGCTTGCGAACTGTATCATGGCATCGATATGACCTCGAAGTATCGACAGCATGATCCACGCCTCAACATTACTAGCGCTAAGGTGTTGCTCCACTGCAAAAAAAGGAAAAAACCATACTGATTATTCATCCTAAAACTAACTACTTATCCACATACACTTCACCCATTCAAAATTAGGGAACAGCAATAAAATATAATAATAATATGGCCTCCAGACCGAATTTCGGTCACGGCGGCCAGCCTCAACAAAACGCCCAAGTGCATGCGCAAGCACAGATGTACTCTAGAGTGCCTAAAATCTTCACTCTCATAGTCCGATGGGACGGTAAACCGACACAACCGGAGAGAGATCAGGAGCAAGGCTTTCCATGCTTTCTGAGGCACGGGGGTGAGACACCGTCAACTTCCTGACTCCAAGCAACTGAGAATTTCTTGATGGAAAAGCTGAATAACTGATTTTTTGGCCCGTGCCGAAATTCGAACCCATGACCCCATGATCAGCAGTCGCACTACTACAACCACTAGACCAACGAGGTAGTTAACAGCAATAAAACATAATTACATTATGGCCTCTATTATAATCAAATCTAACTGATGTGTATGTGTTGTAAACGAACATTTTATGCAATCAATTATTTTTTTAAATATGTTACTCACTTTCCATATCTAAAACTTCGTTAATCTCATTGGTACTGCCAAACATTTTCACAAAGTCAGTTCCAAATGCTTTATTTTGCGAGGATGCATTTTTAACTTCAGCAGTAGCGTCTTTCTCACTTGTGTTAACTTCTTTATCCGGTGTGGCTGCATCTTTATTAGATGTGGATACATCATCATTAGATGAGGATGCATCTTTATTATTAACAGACGAATTTTCATTTTCTGTCAATTTATTGAAATCACCTTCGCCTTTGTTCCCTGTTTCTATTTGAACATTACAACTTTCTGTGTTCTTTTCTATATAATTTTGTAACATTTTTCTTGCACCTTGTAAATGACAGCTGACGATCTGCTTGTGGATAATAGGCAGCAGATATTTTTTCGAACTTTTTATTTTATCTACGCTGGCTAAGTGAGCCTGACCTTCTACTTCATTTTTATCTTCTTCAGCTTTTTTCTCTTCTTTCTTTTCTTTATAGTGCTTCCTTTTGTCTTTTTTAATCCCACAATGTTGTACAGTATCTGAAAAATTTTTAAAATGAAATACTAGTTATGAAATGATACACTTTTTAACTTGTGTATAATCCCTCGTATATCGATATAACATAACCGCCATTCTGTCCACTGTGACATCTGCTGCGGGCCTCGCGATTGTATAGAATTCGGGTGGTACAATGATTTAGTAAATTCGTTCTATGAGAATAATGACACGTTTTATATAACAAAGTAACTTTTTTGAAATTGCATTGATGTTCGAAGAAATATTATTTCTTCGAACATCAAATAGTTTTACTCTAATACATCAAATATTTTATTATGAAGAACACATTTTTATTGTTTTGTTTATCCTATATAAAAGATGACTCTGTAGAGGGATACTTGATGGATCGTAAAAACAGAATATTTTTTTTGGCGACTTGTATACAGATTTATTATACAGGTGTCCTATAATTAATGGATTACCTTGAGATGGGTCATAACAAAACTTATCGCCACTTAAAAAAAAATATATCTCAAGTATTTTCTGGTCATTCAGGTGGTTCACTTATTATCTCAATAATTTTTTTACATTATTTTACATACTAGTCACAAATTAATCAATTCCACCGGTTTATTATTATAATATTTTACGTTCACTGAGCTGGTAAATAGGCAATAAATAGTATTAACCAACTACATGTTTTTTTTTAAAAACAACTTGACTAAAATATTGTAACGCCATGTACAAGTACTGCCGCACAGCAGTGCCCTACACATGTAGAGCACGTGCAGTGCACGTGCAGTGGCGCACGGTGCACTGACCGGCGTGTGCGGCGGCGGGGTGGTGCGGGGCGCGCCACAGGCGCAGCGCGCAGTCGGCGCCGCCCGTCAGCGCCAGCGCGTGCAGCTGCGGCCACGCGCTCCACGCGCAGCTCAGCGCGCTCGGCGCGTGCCCGCTGAATATTGACACGCACACGCCCTGTGCGACGTCCCACACCTGCACACGAACAACTTTTTTAAAATCAGACAGTTACGACATCGAGTCGACAAATCCCTACTACGGCAGACCAAGTGAGAAACAAGAAACTTACAATTAGATTAAACTAATTTTACGGATTTTATCGTGTTTAATTTCAACTTTTTAATTCCCGACGTTTAGAGTGCTTTACAGCACTTATGGTCACGGGGATCTGAGGTGTTTGACGTCCCGATGTCATGGTTAACCACGGCTATCTTTAGTTTTTGAATATTAATTTTTAGTCCGATCTACGCAAAACAACTTTACACTATCTTGAAGTCTTGCAATGGTATTTTTTTTTCTTGGTTAGCTTTCAGCTAATTTACATAAATAATATAATTATAACAAAAATGAAGGCTATTTACAAGTTTTCACTTACATATATAATACTGTATATAAACAAGAGTGTGTCAGAAAAGATACACGAGTATAGGACAAGTAACAGTACATTTAACTATAAATAACATTATCAAAAAATAAAGAAGTTGTTAGAAAATGAACGCCTAAACTGGAGAATAAAAAAATAATAAACGCAATATAGAATTTACGTTTTTATGCTTTTAAAATCTGCCGATAATCTTAATATGAAACCCAGCGTTTTATTAGCGTTTATAACAATATAATCAACGTGATTGTCAAACAGCAATCTATAGTCAAAAGTAACACCGAGATCTCTGATAGTGCTGGTTCTATTTAGAGAGTATAGTGTAATTTATAATTATAAATTATAGGATTACGTTTACGAGTAAATAAACAGATAAAAATTTTAGAAACATTCAGATCGAGTTTATAGTTAGAACAGTACGCTTCTAAACTGAAGAGATCCTTTTGAAGGTTAGAACAACTTCCCAAATTTGTAATAGGACATATGATTTTCATATTGTCAGCGTAAATAATAATCTTGGAACTTTTAAAACACGTGTCGATATCATTGATAAAATTAAGAGCAAGGGCCCCAATAGAGATCCTTGCGGTACGCAAGACGATATATGGATTGCAGACGAACGATATCCACCAAGGACGACAGATTGACTTCGATTGTTCTTCGTATGACATAAATCAATCATAATCTGAATAAGTCACCCCTGATACTCATTGCAAGGAGTTTACGTAAAATAATTAAATGATCGATTCTGTCGAATGCTTTGCAGTAGTCTGTATAGACTACACATACAGTAGTTTATGTAATAAATCTCGAAAGAAAATAAATATAATTTAAAATAGAGGAAACTTCTGGGCGACCCTTCCCTTTTTTGAGAAGGTTATTGCACGAGCCAAAAATACTCATAGAGCAAATATTGTTTACACGTACCTATATAATCAATAATTCTATTATAGGCATGAGTCGTGTTTGCAAATTCGAATACTCAAAATACGTTCACGTTCAAATACCACGGCCAAAGTTATATTTCGGAATAAGTATTTCAAAAGCTTAGAAAGTTATTGGATTGATTAGTGGGATTGCGTTTCTCATTTCAGTCACCCACGAGATTATATGGGGCGATTAATTTTCTTATACCGGCACTTCATCTCATCTTACACTTATTTTTTAACAATATATATTATGCAATTCAAGCTTACGAGAAAATTATTTAAACAATACAAACCCGAGCAGTGGAGTCATGAGAAGTGGATAGTATTAGTTCATCCCGGTGTGGGTTCCAAGCCACTTGATATATGGAGCTTTTGTGACCACTTAATGTTTTCCATAACTGGAGCTGTTTAGTACCATCTGAAAAGTTTTAATTATTTTTGACGTATTTCAATTTCTTCTCACACTCAAATAAACATTCAACTCAATTTAATTAGTGATTAGTTAAATTACACTCCGTACAACCATTTATTTTACTTTTGAAATATTTATATATGCACAACTATGCACAACCATGAAGTTCCATAATTACTGACAGGCAAAAAATACCATAGACCAAAAAATTAAATACTTCACGAACGCTATTTTTTCTTTACAATAACGAAGCGTCTTGCGCCTTAGCTCATTTTGAATTTAAAAGATAAATGGGACAGAATATTTGAGATTTTTTAAATTAATTTTTCTTCACCATTTGCTATATTACTTATTCTGAACCTTCCTGCAAATTTGGGCGTATATTGCAAAATAACCCTGTACACATATAATAGAAGAATTGTGCCTGTTAAAACATATTTTAAAAATTACTAAAATGTATAATACTTAATGCATATTAAGTTTCCTTAAACATTTCCAGTACATCTCATTGATTTCATAAAATTGCATATATAACCATATCTATCTCAATATATAAACCAATTCCTATCTGTTAGTCTCGCTATAGCACAAACACGGCTCGACCGATTTTTTGTGTGTGTTTGAGTGGGTTCTTAAATGGTTTAGATTCACAATTGGACCCGGTATGTGGCGCGGTTGTTAGGCCAAATTTAATTTAAAATAAAAACATAATCCTGTTAATTTATGGATGGGTCACTAGATGGTTTAGATACACATTGGGGATCGGTAGGTGGCGCTGTAGTCAAGGTCTAGAAATCACCCGTGCGAAGCCGGTAATTAACCAAAATTTCGTTACAATTCCATAGAAAATGACCTAAAACTAGCTGCATTTTAACTTTGTAATGTTATTGTCAAATGTAAATAAATTGAAGAAAACGACTATGCATTACTACTATAGCTGTACGTTTTCTTTGCTTCGAATTGATGTAATAAATTTATCAGCATCATTATCATCATCATTACAGCTTTCACAAGCCTACTGCTGAACATAGGCTTCCCTCAAGGAATGTCACTAATCATGGTCCTGAGGTCGTCCACCTACATAATTCTCATTATATCTATAACAAAAATTATATATTACTTTTAATGTTAACCATTGAGTTATATGTGTACTATGTACTAGAGAAGCTATTCCAAACAAAAAAAAATGCGCTACTCTATATCTTCGCGCATGCGCAGTTGATATAAGCGAATTGCGCCTGCACGGTCAGTTTTTGTCATCATAGTAGGTAGAATGATCAGTATGTAATAATTGTTTATTTAGAATGTATGGTTAATTATATCGAATACACTTTTTTAAGCCTTTCACCGCCGCGCTTTATTTGACGTGGAGTGTCTCCAGCACCAGGAACTTTTATTTAATATTTTGCATAGTGTTGGAACAACCATTTATGGATAAATGAAACATAGTTTTAAAAATTATTGATTATTATTGATTTTAATCAACATAAAATCTTCTTATTGGGTATTATCACTAGCTTTAATCAGTCTTAATTTTCATTAATCACATTGCATTAATTCTCTTCATAAAACTAATCAATATTCAGGAGATGGGCATGGACCTTGATCTAATATATGTAGCTCCTTCAGAGCGTTATATATCATATTTATTATGCCCATATACACTTGCGATCGAATCTCGTATGAGACTGACTCCGTTTCTTCTTCTCTTTCTTCTGGTCTTTGTTTAAAGAATCTTGAAGCGGGCAAACTTTTATAAGCTACACTCATCTTTTTCCGATTTCACATAGCATATGTAATGATTTTCGGTCTGCGTTGATCTACCATTTTTGGAAATTTTATTTTTTTATTTTCTTTCTCAATCGAATAGATGGGAGAATAGATGACGATAACGGCGGCGATTCACTTTTTGACATGATGATTCTACTCCATATACTAGAAGATTCTTTATGTTCCTGTAAAATGTATAAATTAAGCAAATATAAATGTAGTGTAAGTTTCTCAAATACCTGACTATTTATTTTACATGAATATTTACTTACCTATTCAATATCACTGTCTGTAGATGAAACTGTGAATATCATTATGCGATTCTAAAATATTTAACAGTTCTTCTTCGTCTAGATTTATCGATAATTTCCAGCACTAAAAATGCAAGTAAGTATAGTACACGCGTGTTATCACGGTGACGGCGCCACAGTAATTGACAATTTATTGAAACGCCACTACCCTTGACATTAGCCGCACGTGAAATCACGGTGCTGGCTATATGCTTCATGGTGCTGGCGTTCTCAACTCGAATGCACTAGTGACGTACCGGGATAATTCAATTTTACATTTGGTTTGTTTGGTTTATCTATACATATAATAAAACTGTAAGTAGCAGATGTCTGTACATTTTATATTTTTGTAATAAAAGTGATTGAGGGGTACTAAAAATAAGTAATTAAATACATTTCTACCATTTTTAGAATTTTCTGTCTGTCTGTCTGTTTGTTTGTTAACGTATCACGTATAAAGTACTAATTTATATCATAAGAATTGTTAAGGAAATTATAAAGTGTATCTTCGGGTTACATTTAGTCTTTATTTCATTAAAATCAGTTCATTCCATCAAAAGTTATGATAAATATTCTGAAGTATGGGTAGGGAAGTATAGGTACGAATTTGCTCAACGGTGGCTTTGTTTGAGTCATCAAGTGCATTTTAAACTAATATCATATCATAAACCATAGTTAAATTATGTAAAATAATGATATAATTATGTATATCTAAAACGCAGTAAACAAAAGTAATAAAGAACGTATTAAATATATATGTATAGATTATACAAAAATATATTAACGTTATTAACTATATCTGAAGCACAATAGTTAACACATTTCTTCGATAGATGGTGGTGTTGTGAAAATGTAACGCAATTGCAAATGTGGTTTTTTCCTGTAGATGAGTTTTCATATTTACTGCTAATCTTTATTATATTACTCGCTGCCCTACTGCGTGTTGACAAACTCAATTTATTCTTTACCGCCGAGTACTCTATGTGGTAAATCAAATTTTAAAAGAGCTATTAACAATTGCATTGGTTTTGGCGAGAGTCAAACTTTATTTTTTGCTTACTGTGCAGGCACTGATTTATAAGTTCTCTTACGTTTTATATAATGTATCAATCGTGTCAATTAATCTCTTTTATTTTTAGAATTGATGATGTTAGCAGCGCCATCTCTCTTTAAATATATACATATAATAAAAATGATGATAACATGTTGTGTCTCTTTCTGTACATTGTATATATATTTTGGTGGCTAAAATCATTATGATGAACTGAAAATAATTAAATAAGAACATTTTATAATTTTTAGAATTGTCTGTCTGTCTATTTGTCTGTTATTATATGAACGCATCACGTCTAAAGTAAACATCTTTTATTTTCAAAGAAATCGTTAAGAATATCATAAAGCGTATCTTCGAGTTACATTTAATCTTTTTTTTATTAAAATTGGTTAATTCTATCGAAAGTAATGATTATTATTTTGAAATGTAGGTTCGAATTTGTTCAATGGCGCCATAAAATCTCAGAAATAGTAATAAAAAGATTTCTGTGTAAAAAAAACGTTCCATAATAATTAATATATTTATACTTAAAACACAAAAAGAGATAGGATGTTTTCTCACACAAAGGACGTAATAGATGGAGTTGTACAAATTACAAACTTTTCTGAATTGCTGTGTTGAGATTTTTCGCCGATGAATCGTATTGAGACTTACTGAAGAAATTTGTATCCATCGAAGCCATACAACGGAACCCGACCAAAAATAAAAATTTTGCAACGAAATGTCGTGATATTGTATTTATAACATACGCAAAATAAGAACTGCCATTTTAGCGCTTTGGGAACTAGATTTAGCACTTTTTTGAAATGTATAGCGCGCATTTCGAAATTTTAGCACCTAGCGCTTAATCCAGCGCTTTTTGGTGTATTTAGCACACATTTCAATATTTTAGCGACTAGCGGGTTATTAACTCTTTTATAGCAGCACTGTTAGTCCACATTACCGATAATAATAATAATGAACTTTATTATTTTTTCCCACAAATAGTACATTGCAGTTTATCTTTTTCAAACATATTTTTTCCACAAAACAAAGAGCATGGGAGACGAGTCCAAACTAGGATACCCTGTGCTATGGATCTCCTGGCTTCCCCTTTAGGATCATCAACTTGATTTTTTTACCGACGACTATAAGCGGGGAAATCCCCTTTATTAAAGTTTTCGTTCATGGTTTTGGCTGCTTTATTCAGTTTAAGTCAGTTGCTTAGAGCACAGCTAAGTTAAAAGTTACTTAGAAGTTATAACACAAAGAAACTGTGTAGCAACCGCAATCAGATGCTGACATCTGAAACTAAGTTGCGAAATACATTGCACTTTAAAACAACACTACTACTGTTGACAGCAATTGCTATAATTATAAGTCGATGTCCTGCGAAGTATTGACACATCAAAAAATATTGCCAGAAAAAAAACTTAATGTTGTTTTCTTGATTGATTGATTGATGATTATATAAAAAAACACAAACTTTGTTTGTAGTTAATTTAGCGCGAAATCTAGGGCTTTTTTAAAGTGCTGTTTTCATGAAATCTAGCGCTTTTTGTGTTGTCCTAGAGCTGAATGAGTTTTTTTTTATCTGGCAGCACTGCCCAAAAACCCTCTATTAGTAGAAGTAACTTTCCTTTCAGTTTTAAGCGCGTTCAGTTCCCAGTTACAGTGAGTGTGTGTTATGCGATGACCGTAAATAAAGCGCAAGGTCAAACTTTACGCGTTGTAGGAGTGTACCTCAGTACTGACTGTTTTGCACATGGCCAACTCTATGTTGCTTTTTCCCGCGTTAGTAGCCCCCGTAACCTTTTTGTGTATACCCCGGCTAAGCCTACTTCTAACGTCGTTTACACAGAAGCTCTATCATAAACGACTTAGAACTTTGATGATAATGATTTATTTTGTTA